TATTCGTCCATGTGAATCAAAAAAATTTTAATTTTTTCAAATTCTAAAGAAATTTCCTCTTGCATTTGGTACCCATATTTATACCCGAGCGCACTTGTGCACAAGGGTATTATAACTTTGTTCACATAACGGTTGTTTGTAACAGGCAAAACGAATCGAGATAGATATAGACAAATGATCAGAATGAAAAGAGAAATCGATTAAGCGGTGACTGTCTGTCCGTCCGTCCGTCTGTGCACACGATAACTCGAGTAAAAATTGAGATATCTTAACGAAACTTGGTACGTGCACTTCTTTTGGGCGTAGGACGGATGGTATTGAAAATGGGCGAAATCGGACAATAACCACGCCTACCTCCCATATAACGGTAATTTTAAGAAATACGAAAACTGCGATATTTTAGTAACTACTGAAGCTAATTCACTCAACATTGATACTTACAATGAGTTTCAGACAGAAAACATGAATATTATAAATTTTTGGAAAATGGGCGTAGCCACGCCCACTTATGGTTACATGTGTATATCTTGGTAACCGCTGCACCAATTTCTTCCAAACTTGGCACAGTTGTTGGCCTTAGTACAGCATACTAAATGGCTGAAAATTTTAAAAATCGGACAATAACCACGCCTACCTCCCATATAACGGTAATTTTCAGAAAAACGAAAACTGCGATATTTTAGTAACTACCGAAGATAATTCACTCAAAATTGATATTTGCAAAGAGTTTTAGACGAAAAATAAGAATATTACAAAATTTTGGCAAATGGGCGTAGCCACGCCCACTTATGGTTACATGTGTATATCTTGGTAACCGCTACACCAATTTCTTCCAAACTTGGCACAGTTGTTGGTCCTGGTACAACATACCAAATGGCCGAAAATTTCTAAAATCGGACAATAACCACGCCCACATCCCATATAACGGTAATTTCGAGAAATACAAAATCTTCGATAAATCAGTAAATATTGAAGCTAATTTATTCAAAATTGATGATTGCAACAATTCTTTACCAAGAAATACGTTTATGACAAAATTTTGGAAAATGGGCGTAGCACCGCCCACTTGTGATCACATATATGTATCTCGCTAACCGTTCTAGCAATTTGTACCAAGCTCGGTATGGTTATTGTGCTTGCCACATAAAAGCAAACCGTTGAAAATTGTTGAAATCGGACTAAAATTGAGGCCGCTTTTCATATAACGGTAAATTTCAGATATGCTTGAAATTTCAATATTTCGAAATTTAAGGACGCTAATTTACTTAAAATGTATACACCCCTGCTTATCATGTAGCGGTAGCTTTCGGAAAGGTGGAAAACATATATTTAATACTTGCGCCGGGTATTTAATGTTCGGCTCCGCCCGAACTTAGACTTTCTTACTTGTTTTATTTTACATTGCATTGAATTTTTTAAATAATTTTTGGAATTAATCATACCTTTGAAATTACAAAGTCCTTTGAAATAAATCCTGACGTCAGAAAGAAAAAATAAAAACGCCACTTTAAATAAAAAAGTAAAATTTGGTATGAAGACATATTCATGGTAGGCGCTTATAGTAAGGTATATATCAGGGGTGGGCAAGGCCGAGGCCGATAAGAGCCACATGTAAATTCCAAATGCTACAAAGAGTCACAAAAAACAAGAAAAACACAAAATTTTATTTTTCAATAAAATTATTATTAGAAATGAAAAGCATTAATTTTATTTTAATTCTAATGTACGTAAGATAGATATTAAAGAAAATTGAAAGATCCCTTTGGCCAAATTTTCAAAATCTGGTTTTACGTCAGTCAAAGCCGTTCGTAACAGTTCTGTTATATGTTGGTTAGTCAATAGGTACGTTCGTTTAAATCTCCAGTAAAATATGTCCAACAGCAAAATTACGGCGAAATGGCATATGTTCTCTCACAAGAGAAAAATATCCAAAACAGTACGCGATCAGAAAATTTGCAGAAACTTGTAAGTTAGACGAACAGCTGATAGAAATTTTGTTTACATTCAATAGTATAAAATTGAAAACGTAAGAAAACAAATCCCGAAGTCTTATCCTGACACAGTTCCCTGACTAAACGAATAATTACTTTCTTCTTACAAGTTTAATTAGTCGCATTTTACTATTTTAACTTCCAAACCATCAAATTCAATTTAGGGATTTGCTTAAATTCCAACCAGCTGTTTTTGATCAGCTGTTTTCTCGGTGGCAAATTGCAGTTGGCAAAAAATTCCAGCAGAAACTAGCAGCTCTCCCTCAAAATTAAATGTCATTTTGCTCTCTCAATTTCGCTACTTTGCAAGTTTTTTGGGTACGCGAACACAAAAAGGTGATAGTTTTTATAACTTTCCATAATTATCAGGTACGCGAATGCAACTAATTGAGAACGGTATTTTGACTTTACGAATTTCATTCTAGAGTACAGACTCACAGTTATACGTTGTACCAAAAATTGGAAATATACGGGACGCAGCTGTTTTCAACAGCGGATATTTTAAATCTGGTACTTATTTTCGGAATTCAAGGAATAGTAGAGCTTTATGTTGCATTTCCAGTGCCTTGTCTTCTCTTAATTCCAAAAACTCCAACTCTTTTTCGCCTTTCTTAAAAAGGACTATTTCGGAGATTGTAAATTCATCCTCAATTATGTAACATAAAAAAGGGTTTATGAAGTATACAAACGTACATTTAAATAATTTCAAATCGGCAAATCTTTTTTCAAAATCTGCTTTTAAATCATGTGCAATATTTTTTCTAGCAATCAGAGATCATAAATTCAAATTCAAGTTTTGCAAATGTTCCATCATATCGGTAAAGAACATTAAGTCAGAAAGCCAATTTTCATTCCCCAATTGCGGGTAATATTACGATCTGAATTTGCTTTTGTGTATATAAAAATAATAAAAACAACTCAATGGAAAAGAATGTCCAGCAAAGAAATATGTATTTTAAAAAGTAAAAATAACCAAAATGTTCTAATCAAAGAGAAAGTAAAAAGAGCCACACTCTGCTAAGCAAAGAGCCGCATTTGGCTCAAAGAGCCGCGTTTGCCCACTGTTGGTATATATGAACGAGTTTGTACAAGGGGCGTGGCACATTTCATAGGGGTGAGAGTTTTAATCAGCAATAACTTCGGAACCTTAAATCACATGAATTCAATACGTGGTGTGAAGACAGATCTATAATAGATGTTTACAGTCAAGTATCCATATATATAAATAAATTTGTAAAAGGGAGCGTGGCACATCTTCAAGGCGTCAGATTTCTTCGAAATTTAGTGTGAAGACATAAGTCAAGTAGGCGCTTATAGCGAGGTTAACATAAGTGAGTTTGTATAAGGGGCCGCGGCATATTCTATAGCCGTGAAATCTCATATTTGCTATATCTTCGGACCCCTCTCACATGGTGAGAACATCTATGGTAAATGTATCCAATAGATGTAGTACGTTCAGAGAACCATAACCTTGGACCCATTACAAACAGACAGCTAAACGTAATGACCTGTTGTAAACTAAACAGGGATGAAAGTTTGCATGAAGTCGTAGCACCTCCCACCACACATGCCGTCTACGTTCAGAAAGTATCAATTTCAAAATTCAAGCGCATTTCATTCTTCTTTAGGTACCTTGATCCACATAACCTTAATAACACTATGCGACAGTCAAAATCGGGATGCGATGAAACCAACGGGAAATGTTATATCGGTCAAAAACAAGTTATACGTGTCCCGGCGTTGCGCTGGGTTACGTCTAGGAATCGAGATATATATATAACTATCATATAGGGGAAATTCTCACCTTTGGTGGTCTTTTTTTGACATAACTCGAGAACCACTAGTCCGATTTTGCTCAAACAAATTTAAAAAAATTAAAAATTACAATTCCTTTAATCTGTTCATATAACGTTCCCGATCACTGACCCCTACCATTTGTCTCACAGTGTAATGAAACAAGATTTTTAGTAAAGAAAATAATGACCACTTGCAGCAAGAATTATTACTGGATTCGGCAAAGGAGAAGATGTGTTTCTGTAAAAAGTCCTATTTATTCCCACAGACTTTTCATTTTAATTTAAAAGTCTTCAGTATTCTCTGAGATTTTACTTTGACGTGTGATTATTTGTCGAATGCAACGAAATTTATTGTGGTTTCTGTTACAGATTGAATTATATTTGAAATGAAAATTATTAAAAATAATAATAATTAGTTGAACCTGGTATGCTTCTACACCACAGCAAAAAATGCAAAGTATTGTTCAGAAGGAGGTCTTAAATGAAATAAGAAAAGTATTATGTCTCCTTTAATTTATGGTGTACTGAAAATCTTTCTTACTGTTTTATATTTTTCTTTGTTTACCCCGAACAACGTCGGATGCTCGGCATCATAAAATATACTTTTTCAAAAAATTGTGCCGACAGATGGTGCTAGTGTCGAGATATTTAGAGAATCCGTCTTTATCGTACGACCAGGGCTCGAATCGTCACACACGATATCGTACTACTCGTCACGTAAAAACACATTTTTCGGATTATGACATACGTAAACGTACTCTTTGTCCCATTCAGCTTATACTGCCTGACGTATCACGTAATTTTCTTTCGTATCGTTTTCGATCCGTGAACGGATGTTACAATTCGAGCCCTGGATTAACAGGTACAAAGAAGCGCAACATTGTTAAAGCGTCACAGATGTCCTAGACACATCAACGGGTCATCGGTATATGAAGAAGAAGTGTGACGAATTTAGAAGAACATGGTAGGAACATCAATGACCATGTCTGAATGGGAAAACTCTGTCTTCCTGTGGTACAGCAGGATTTTAAACCTTGCAAAACTTTCAGATATCTCCCAGGTGGAAATAAAGGCTCATAGCATCGAAGGAGATTAGTACATATACCATAAGGAAAATTCTGTTCTTCAGTCCTTTCAACTTAAGCTAATAATGTTTACATTACAAATCGTTTTTGTATTTCATTGTATTGTATTTATTGTATCGGTCAACGCAAAAGTTCTTATGAGGCGTCGCGAAGCAAGCCAGGCATTTGCTAGTTTTACATAAAATGTAAAAAATACCTTATTTGTTTCGCATCAATCAATGGATCTTTGCACACTGAACTCAAACATGGCTACGCCATTTTCATATCTCGTCAGGTTTGGAAGTTATAGAGCCTTTTTTGCGTAATCTTAGGGCTCTTGAGGCTGATCACATTTTTATGACCAAATGAACCTATAAAAGAGGAGCAGTCTTGCTTTGTGGGTCAAAGTTGAAAAAGAAGACGCACCCTAATGTATATACATAAATACATATGTATAAAATTTAAGTATTAAAAATGCATACATACGTGCATATATACAAAAATACGTATGTATTATCTAGAAGTGTAAAGTTGTTTTCCACGGTAATTCCTAAGGTGCGTTTATTTTCTCAAAACATTTTAGGTAGCTGCATTAGGTTTAGTTCCTGATCGCCATTTAGGCAAATCGTTGCGGGAAATACAACCACACCTACTCAAAATGCGTGATAAGTACGGTTTGAACGTTTGTGGAGAAGGAGGTGAATATGAAACATTCACTTTAGACTGCCCTTTGTTTAAACAGCGGATTGTGGTGTAATTGAAAAAACACTTACTATTTACTTTTTGTATAAGCAACTAAATCCTAAACTTTTATATTTCAGGGAAGATGTTCAAACTATAATTAGCTCAGCAGATCCCATATGTCCGGTAGGGTATATTAACTTCACCAAATTATCTATGCAATCGAAAGAGCCGACTCAGTGCTGTGATGTGTTTGTAAAAAAATCTTTAGACTACATAAGTGACCTAAACGAATCAACATACAGTGACCTCAGCGATCCAGATCTCAGTGAAACTGAGTTAGAATTGATAGAGAAAGAGACACGGCTGCGCGAGTCTCTCAGTCAAAACGAACTGATGATATCTCGCAGCAATTCATTTGGACGTCATTTGACCACTTCATCCTCGCCCATACCTATTGTGACGAAGAGCGCGAGTGTAGATGAGCCTCCTACACCGTCGTCATTGCTTTCATCCTCAGCGGCGCTGTGCGCTGCATCATTACAGGCAGGGACCAACAGCTTTGGTGTACAACGCCCATTGGGTAGTAGTACGGCTGCAGTGTGTGGCTCGCTATCGCTGGTGACGTCCTCTACCTGTGCCACGGCTGGCATCTCGACTGCACAGGCAACTCAGCCACCTAGTCCAATGAAAATTGAACGTGAGTTCCGTCCACTAAAAAATCAACCAATGGCTGCGTTTAATCAAAAAGGTTGGATGTGGGTCGCTGGTATACAAGGTAAAATAATTAAGCTCGCTTGCTCTCTTGCTAATGAACCTTATCACCTGAATTAAACTTCCATTTTAGGCTGCGCTCAAACTTTGGAAGAGGGAATGCAGTTGGCAATGAAATCCTTGGTTGACTTAGCTGCTCAGCACAATTATGAATTAACTGATTACTGTTACGTAACACTTTATATACGTTCAATGGCAGATTATCCTTTACTCAATCATATTTATGGCCAAACAATTAATTTTCAAAATCCACCAACTCGGGTATGTGTTGAATGTCCTCTGCCAGAGGAATGCCACGTGATACTGGAAGCGATAGCATTTCGTACACCCATGCGACGCCGTCCGACATTATCTACAAACGAAATAGATGGTATGTAAAACTAGTAGCGCGTATTCAATAAATTCTGACATCGTTACTTTACTGTTCCCTACAGGTAACAATGATGATCACAATAATAGCGGAGATTCGACGTTTAAAACAAGGCAAACAATGCATGTGCAGGGTATCTCCCATTGGGCGCCAGCAAATATTGGAACCTACAGTCAATCGACGAGGGTAATTAAAGAAATCGATATATTAAAATAGAAAATAAATTTTTATTAGAAAATGTGCACGCGTAATATTTTTTAGGTTGACGAGATTACCTACATTTCTGGTCAAATAGCACTTGTTCCTGGAAGCATGACAATTATCGAAGGTGGAATTCGTCCACAGTGCAAACTGGCTTTGCGGCACATTAGCCGAATAGCGAAGGCGATGAATGCTCAGGGTCAACTACGAGATGTAGTTCATGGTATTTGCTTCCTGACCCACCCAGCCTTTATAGCTGAGGCACGTCGTCAGTGGGAGCGACGGACAACTAATGCAATAATGGATTATATTATTGTACCTGCTTTGCCCCGTGATGCATTGGTGGAATGGCAAGTGTGGGCACATACCCACAATGATCGATTCGAATGTAAGCATGGATTTTTCTGGTCCAACCAACTTAAACTTTTCTTTTGCAACATATTGACTTTAGCATAGGGCTGCCATACGTCCCCGTTTCCAGGGACATGTCCCTGTTTCGGACCCTTTGTCCCCGTGCCCCTGTTTACAACCAAAATGTCCCTGTTTTGGGCGAAAAAATGAAACTCATGATAACGCTGCGTTTGCATAAGACAATTTGGTTTAATTTGAATAATTGTCAACTTTTTCTGACGTCTGGCGTCCAGAAAATTATAAATACAATACACTTTGCAGCAACCGCTGTACAGTGCTTAATTTCGGCGATTTAGGGGCAGGAAAATCGATAATCGAAGTTGGTAAAAAAAATCTATCAATTATTTAAGAGGAAAGATTCTAATGATATCCGATGAATGTTATGAGGAAGTAACTTATTTAAAATCGTTTATTGAAAACTATACATTAACCCGCATCCATCGTTTGTATCAAATTGATACAAATTTCGAAAACATATTAAAATATTAAGAAAAATAGTTAATGTTTTGAATTGTTTTTTACGACTAATTCATATAGATATTTTAAGAATTTTTATTCTTATTATGAGAAAATGAATAAACGTTGGTCATTAGATAATAAAAAATGAAAAAAACCCAACATTTCATTAAATACTAGGGTATTTTTCCATATCGTCGTTTAATGTACAAAACCGCGTATCAACAAAATGCAAAACCGCGTATCAAGATAATGCAAAACCGGGTATGTGAATTATGTAAATAATTTTCTAGAGACTAGAAACACTCATATTTCAGGACGAATGGATAAGGATTGAGCCAAAAGCTTGTGTGAGCAAATCTAATTTTTGGCAGCAAATGTAACTGGTTTTGCAGAATGACGAATGACAAAATTTCCGATGGATGCGGGTAAAAGTGGAAAGAAATGCCGCCCTTAGAAAAAATGGAGTTTATTTTTTAAAGATACTATTGAACACGAACGAAAAGCAAACCTGCTAAAATTTTTGCAATACATATGTGCAATCCCTTCCCACAGTGCGAATGTTGAGCTAGTTTTTTCTCTTATTTCATCACAATGGTCTAAAGAGAGAAATTCGCTTAACATTGGCACTGTGGAAAGTATCGTTCAATGCAAGTTCAACTTTAAAATGACGTGCACTGAATTTTACCATTATGTGAAAAATGAATACGAACTTTTAAGTAATGTTAAAACCAGGGACGTTCCGGGTATCTGGTAGATATCCGGAATCCTGCTTATCCGGACGTTTTTCTGTTATCCGATTGGATTATAAAAATACAAAAAAAAAAGTTTAAATAGAATCTAGTTCAGAATTTTTTTTTGTATTTTTATAATCCAATTTAATGTTAGATACGATTAGTAATTAAAATAAACGATTTTAATATTTTTAATTATGAAAAGAAGTATTTCCGAGTTATCGGGCAAAAATCTATTTCTATTTTCAACATAAATGCTACCCGATATACTAACTCACTTTCTGGGTTCACTGAGGAAGGTGGTGCGCACAGATACTTCATTGCCAGTATAAACAAATTACGAAATTCTTTGCGATTATGCTTCCACCAAATTAAAGGATCTTCGCGTCTGGGTATAAGGTAGCTGAAAATATATCTCGCATTTCTAAATCGCTAGCTTTTTTCGTGTACGGTCGCTACCTTGTGTACCCATCGTTTGCCTATCAACATCACTAAAAAATCTGGAATGAGCCGTTGGCGATTTTCTCGTGGTGTGCGCCTTGGTGTTGGGAGGAGGGGAGGGACCTACAGTTTTACGCCGACTCCGAACGGTGATTGTATTTTTATTAGAAGCTGTTTTTCACAGCAGAAATACAGTCGGAGGTTTGTCATTGCCCGCCGAGAGACGACCACTGTTAAGGAAAAACCGTTTTTCTATATTTTTTTGCGATGTTGCTTTCGACCAGATCTTGAACTCAGGCCCTGCGGAGCGGAAGCGCGCACTGCTTACCACGATTCCTTAAGCATTGCCAAATATCCTGGTGAGCTCCCAGGGAGTTTTTAGCTGTATTGATGTCAGAAAAGAACGAGTTTTGAAACGTGGGTCACAAAATATCGCAACAACGGGACGATACGGGAAGCGGACGATATGTAAGCATGCATAATAGTACGATTTTCATTACATTTTTTTAATAAAAATACATCAACCACGCTTTTTGCTTAGCGGAGTTCATTGTTTTTTATCTTTTGTCTTTGACGTTTCTCCTCTATTTACCAAAAATAACACAGGCATGCAATATTTAAATTTTGATTCCCCCTTCCAATAATTATGTTATTTGTTGAGTATCTAGTTATGTTAAATTTAAATACACCTTTGGTTTTTTCTAGCATGTCGAAATTTTTTTTTTATTGATGGCATATAAATTTTCGGATTTTTAGCAATTTACATGAAAA